TGACAGCCCCGAGAGAGCGAGTAGAGGGAAGACGATCACGACGTATACGAGCAAAGACACCCTTGACTTCCCTTTCCGACCAGAGAGCTGGACGAACGCAATCCTCCCAGGCATGAGTACGGTAAATTTTACGCATGCAAATAATCCAAGCAGAGCACGAGAGATGAAGAACGGGGGGCCACCATCAGACGCTGATTCGCAGAACGTGCCGTATGGTAGGTGGGGCCTGTGGCCTTTCCGAAGCTGCTCAAGATCGGATTATATACCGTGGGCTTCTTGAAGGCACACAATGCCATGTTTAGTCAGAAGTGGCCGAAGACGCTACTGTTTATGCCGAAGGACACCATGATTAAAATGCACATGCCCCAGGACCGTTTGGCAGTTACACGAGGCCGAGCTGATTCTCTCGTCGATGGTGAATGGGCGCTCGAGGTTTGGAAGGGAAGGAAAGGGGGGGCTACATGCAACTGGGCAGGGGCTGGATGGGGCAGATGCACCGACTGGCCAAACGCCTGCATGCTCTAACAGTTCGATATCCTCGACCGGCGGCTCGATCGAGGAAGCAAGCCTAGATGATTGGCAACGCTGCGCCCCGCGCGGCTCACCATGCTGAGGCTGCCTCACAAGTGTTTCCTATTCGCGCCCTGTCGCTGTCTGAGTGATGCCCGCTGCTTTCTCGAAGCTAATGCCCCACTCGGCGAGCTCAGGCATGACTTGTTCAAAGTCGATCTGCCCGATGCCAAGCCTCTGCGTCTTCGCGATCTCCCAGACGTCGCCCTGGCCGATTATCTGGAGGACACCGTTGAACCCATTGACACCCAACCGACATCTCCCACCTTGCCACTTCGGGCTCTTCTTGATCTCCTGCAGGAATGGCTCATAGATCTTGTTGAGTGAACTCTGCCGTTCACGAACATCCAATGGAAGATCTTGCCGACAAAGAGTGGGGACTTTTTTTTTGCTGGTACGAGGATAACTCCATGTATACCCTCCTGCTTCATTGTACGCACTCTGGAATACCTTGGCCGCCACGGCGGTAGGAAACTTCAGCTTGTATGATTGTGAAACTCCGTGAAATGTCGCTTCGACATTCTCGAGAAGATGCTGAAACCGACGAACGACGACTGTCTCATAGTGCTTTTTGCGCTGCTCACGCAACAACGGCCGCGGAAAAATGCCGATGAGGCGGACCGTGGCATCGATCGGTAACTGCTGTCGCGCACCATGTCCACCAACCGTACTGGCACCATCTGATACAGTGGATGTCGCCGAACCTGTGTTCTGAGAAACGTGCTTGACCTGCTCCGCTAACTATGTGTTCTGCCTCCCCTGCTCATTAACCTGACACTGTTGCGCAATCGTTGTGTTCTGCACCTCTGTGATCTGCTGCGTGTGCGTGATCAGCTGCTTTTCCATCGTATCAACAGATTGGCCTAACTTCTTGAAGATAGAATTCGGTTGTTCTTGCATCATATCACGCATGCCACTGAGGATGTCTTTACCACTGCCCCCATTGCTGTCATTCTGACCGCTCAGCTTGAATCTCTCCGGCTTTCGGTGACGTTGGCGAGATGATGAATCACCGAACAAAGGCTCACTTATGTTGCTGCCACTGGAACGACTCCCAGTCCGACTGCTGCCATCGGACTCGCGAGATTCAGACCTGCGAGCTGCCTTCTTGCTCTTTCCATGGCGCACTCGCTCACTGACACTGCGATTCTGCGAACGGCCATCCACTTTTCCCATAGCTGCTGTGAGGTGCGCAAGTGTGAGCTAACACAACCCCCGCCTGTGCCAGCGGGAGGGGAAATAATGCCGAGAGCTTTGGGGCACGACTGGAGAAAGTAGTGAGGCCTAGCCTCAGGACGCTCGGGCCAACCCCTTGGCAGCGTCCAAGCTCGAAGCGCCAGGGAAGCGTTTCGAACTTGAGCCAAAATGGCTTGAGCCAAAATGGCTACGAAACAAAAAAGTGGAGAAGGAGGAGGAGGAAATGGAGGAGCAGGAGGAGGAGGAGGATGAGGAGGAGGAGGAAAAGGAGGATACGGAGGAGGATGGTCGGCGAGCGGCCGCAAAGCTTCCGCGTCGCGGCGCGGCCGCGGGCGGCGAGGATTGATCGCCCCGTGGCGGGATAGCTCCCTGGGGCACCACTGGAACGCCGCATGCAGCGTGGTGTGGTCTCGATAGTGCGTCTGCTCCTGACTGCAATGCAGCCCGCTCAGTCGGGAGCGGGCGTTGGGCGACGCACGCGTCACGCTGGGCTGGGGGAGTTCACGGGGCTCGCGTCGCCGCGCATCCAAGTTATCACAGCGGGCCTCCTTACGGGAGTCGCGGGCCCCAGAAGGAACCACGCGAATCACATTGATTCGCTCCTTCTCGTCGGCCACGGGGTTCATGTCGCCGCCGAGGATGCTGAGTGCGGAGCTCTTGGAGGCGATTGCGAGGAGAGGCGTCGACGAAGCGCTGCCCAGAGCTCAAAAATGAGCCTGGCGAAGGCAACCATCTGCAGCTATGAGTAACGCAATTGTGAGTACTGTCGTCGGTGGATCTCTGTATAGGACCACGACGCTGCCGAACCGTGTGAGGGTGTGCCAAAAATTGCGGCGGGCGCATGCGAGCGATGCCGCTGGGGCCTTCGGTGGAGCTCCTTCTGGGGCCACGAAGCGTGTCAGGGGTGTGCCGAGAAGTGGGTGCGGTGGGCGCATGCGAACGCAGCAACTGTGGGGCCTTTGATGGAGATTTCTGTGAGGCCACGAAACGTGTGAGGGGTGTGCCGAAGTGGGTGCGGTGGGCGCATGCGAGCGCAGCCACTGGGGCCTTCGGTGGAGCTCCGCATGGGGTCACGAAGCGTGTCAGGGGTGTGCTGAAATTGGTGCGGCGGGCGCAAGCGAGCGCAGCCACTGGGGCCTTCGGTGGAGCTCCTCATGGGGCCATGAGGCGTGTGAGGGATGTGCCGGAATGGGCGCGGCGGGCGCATGCGAACGCTGGTTTTTGGGCCTTCGGTGGGGCTCCCTATGGGGCCACGAAGCGTGAGAGGGGTGTGCCGAGAAAGAAACATGCGGATGGCAGGGGCAAGTATGGGAGGAGGGAGGAGGGGGAGGAGGAGAGGAGAGAAGGTACGCCTGGCGGCCTCTTCAAAGCGAGGACCCAACACCATAAAATGGTTGGGAAAGAGCAGGAGGCGCCCCATGTGATCTATGCTGGCGCGTCGATGGCATCGTGGAACTTGACCTCAGAACCCGCGTGAAAATACATGACGTACAAATCGAGGTTGCCGAGCGGGCCCCAGACGGAGCCGGCCCCAGAGAAGGAGCCGGGCCCGCACGGAGGTTTCGGGGGATCCCCGCAGCCACGCCTGGAGTCGCCGCGAGATCCTGGTCGGGACGCGGTCCATGACAGCTCCAGAGGCAGTGGACGGTGCCACTGGGGCCTTCGGTGGAGCTCCCGATGGGGCCACGATGCGTTTGAGGGGTGTGCCGAAATGGGCTGGGAGACGCTATGCTAACCCTGCCACCAGGGCCTTCGGTTGAGCTCCCTATGGGGCGACGAAGCGTGTTAGTGGTGTGACGACATGGGCTGGGGAACGCTACGCGAACCCTGCCGCTGGGGCAGTCGGTGGAGCTCCCGGTGGGGCCACGAAGCGTGTGAGGGGTGTGCCGAAATGGGCTGGGAGAAGCTTTGCGAGCCTTGCCGCTGGGGCCTTCGGTGGAACTCTCGATGGAGCCACGACGCGTGTGAAGGGTGTGCCGAACTGGGCTGCGGGACTTTCTGCGAACCCTGCCGCTGGGGCTTTCGGTTGATCTCCTGATGGGGCCATGAATCGTGTGATGTGTGTGCCAGAAAAGGGCTGGGGGACGCTATGCGAACCCTGCCAAAGGGGCCTTCGGTCGAACTCCCTATGGGGCTACGACGCGTCTTGGCAACGCCTCTCCCCCGTTGGTGCGCCTTCCGAAGCCACACCCCCTCAGAACCACTATGGTCCCGCGCCGATCAGGCCACGATCGCTCGCAACAAACGGTGGGATCCGTGCCGTCGGGATCACGATGCCTTCCGACAGAAGTATAGGTCCACGCTTTCGAGGCCACGATATCCAGAAACAAACAAGGTGCGAGCAAGCGAGCCTGCCAACCAGTCCTTCGGCCAACCAACCAGCGAGCCAGCCAGCCAGTCAACTAACGGGGGATATGGCGACCCCAATCCCCGACTTTGGGAGGTCTTCGACTGGACCGAAATTTGGGGCCCAACCCTGTGATACACAATGGGGGGGCGTCCGTCCTCGATAAGGGTGCGTCCGAACAGCCCCCTGGGGGTATCTCCCAGAGCTGCCCCCTCTTTTCTGCACGGCCAAACTTTTCGGGCGGAGCTCGGGGATTGGGGAAGAACACCTGCCTGCGACTAGCCATCCAACGACTCAGTCAGCAAGACCACCCTGCCGAGCTGCCAACCCGCGAACTCATGGGCAAATCAACGCTCCAACCCAATCGACCCAACCGCGCAGGCAATCAGACGCGGGGGCAGGGCCCGCAACCTGGAGCGAAACCACTCAGGCAACAGAGCCCGCCTTGCGCTGTCGCGACGCCAGGATTCGGACGGCCACGGCATCGTGGTGCGATTGGCCCACGGTCCGTCTCAGGGATTCCAGAGCATCTGACGGCCACCGTTGCTGAAGCCCGTGCGGAACATCAGGATCTCTGGAAACATCCTGGAGATCTGGGAAAATCTCATTCTCCTTACCTAGTGCTCCTCTGAAGGATGTCAGGGCTCCCAGCCTCCCGCACCTGGCAACAACAGATGAGCAAAATAACAGCATAAACATGATTTCTCGGAGGTCCGCGCGGATTTCAACGCTGGACCCCCTCCATGGCGCGCGGAGCGCGCCAGGGGCGGCGCCAGAGGCGCCGCCAGGGGTGCCCAGCGCCCAGCGCCGATCCAAGAAATCCGCGCGGACCTCCGTGGAAGTATGTTTATGCTGTTTTCTGTTCCTCGAAAAAAGGCCCAGGTTCCTGCACTGGCTGCCGGAGCCGCTGCTGGCGCCGCCGCCAGAGCCACAGCACACCGCGCCGGCCCCCTGGTTCGCCACGCGGTGGCCTCTGGCAGGCGGCCCGCCAGGCAGAGGCCACGCTGCCCCCTTCCTCTCCCTCTCCTCCTCCTGTTCTTGCTCCTCCTCTGCCAACGTCGCCGCCACCACCTCCTCATCCAGCTCCATCTCGTTCTCTTCCACCACCACCTCCTCCTCCTCCTCCCCTTTCTTCCCTTCCTTCTCTCGCCCGCCGGACGGTGGACACGCTCGCGAGATCCTCCTTTTCTTCTTCTTCCTCCTCCTTCTCCTCCTCCTCCTCCTCCACCTCCACCTCCACCTCCAACTCCTCCTCCACCTCCTCCTCCTCCCTTTCCTCCTCCCCTTCCTCCTCCTTCTGGGCTCTTTAGCGGGGGTCCTCGCCACCGCGGCTGGACGCAGTCCGAAACACCGACCAGGATTGAGCTCGACAGGGAGCCCAGGGTCAGTTTTGAGCGGCTTCTGGTTTGGAGGGAGATCGATGGGCAGGGGGAGGATGAGGATGAGGATGAGGGAGGAGGCGGATGATTGAGGAGGAGGAGGAGGAGGAGGAGGAGGAGGAGGAGGAGGAGGAGGAGGAGGAGGAGGAGGAGGAGGAGGGAGGAGGAGGAGGAGGAGGAGGAGGAGGAGGAGGAGGAGGAGGAGGAGGAGGAGGTGGATGGGGGAGGAGGAGGAGGAGAAAAAGCTGTTTCTTGGGTCGTATTTTGCTTTCTGCAGACAGATGATCCGATGCAGACAAAGGCTCTCACCAAGGACCGCTTCTGTAAGAGTTAGTGCCCGCCAATGACTGATATCCCCCTCCAACACTTGAGCCCAGATGGCAACGGAAGGGGGAGAAGAAGGAGTCACATGAGGGAGCTAGCGTCGACCCTCGCCCCTAATGCCGTCAGTGCGCAATGCGCATTCGGATGACAGAGGGCAGAACATCTACCCCAACAAGAAGGACCCTGGCAAGCAATGCCGTTTGGTAAACGCACCCAGGGAAGGCATCGAACAGGGCAGGGCTGTTTAGCAAACGCCCAAGGCCACTCAGTAAACGAAATTGTCGGGGTCTGGGTAGTTTTTTCCTCCCTTCAGATGAGGAAGAGGGATGTGAGGATAACGTGCAGGGGGCGGGCGCCACTGGCAAGCCCCAGGCACTGCTGCTGGAACGCCTTTCGCGCCCCCTGGCCGAGCTCCGCACAGGAAGGCGCTGCAGGGGGCAGTGGGAGACGCCGGCGACACACCCTCCAGAGACAACGGCATAACATAACCTCCTCCTCCTTCTCCTTCTCCTCCCCCTCTTCCTCCTGGCAGAGCAGGGCATGGGGAGGAGGCGGGTTTCAGAGGCGGAGGAGGGAGGAGGAGGCGGATGAGGGAGGAGGAGGAGGAGGAGGAGGAGGAGGAGGAGGAGGAGGAGGAGGAGGAGGAGGAGGAGGAGGAGGAGGAGGAGGAGGAGGAGGAGGCAACAAAGGCTCTCACAAGGACCGCTTTCTGTAAGAGTTAGTGCCCGCCAATGACTGATATCCCCCTCCAACACTTGAGCCCAGATGGCAACGGAAGGGGGAGAAGAAGGAGTCACATGAGGGAGCTAGCGTCGACCCTCGCCCCTAATGCCGTCAGTGCGCAATGCGCATTCGGATGACAGAGGGCAGAACATCTACCCCAACAAGAAGGACCCCGACAAGCAATGCCGTTTGGTAAACGCACCCAGGGAAGGCATCGAACAGGGCAGGGCTGTTTAGCAAACGCCCAAGGCCACTCAGTAAACGAAATTGTCGGGGTCTGGGTAGTTTTTTCCTCCCTTCAGATGAGGAAGAGGGATGTGAGGATAACGTGCGGGGGGCGGGCGCCACTGGCAAGCCCCAGGCACTGCTGCTGGAACACCTTTCGCGCCCCCTGGCCGAGCTCCGCACAGGAAGGCGCTGCAGGGGGCAGTGGGAGACGCCGGCGACACATCCTCCAGAGACAACGGCATAACATAACCTCCTCCTCCTTCTCCTTCTCCTCCTCCTCTCCCTCCTGGCAGAGCAGGGCATGGGGAGGAGGCGGGTTTCAGAGGCGGAGGAGGGAGGAGGAGGCGGATGAGGGAGGAGGAGGAGGAGGAGGAGGAGGAGGAGGAGGAGGAGGAGGAGGAGGAGGAGGAGGAGGAGGAGGAGGAGGAGGAGGAGGAGGAGGAGGAGGAGGATAGGAGGAGGGAGGAGGAGGAGGGAGGAGGAGGAGGAGGAGGAGGAGGAGGAGGAGGAGGAGGTGGAGGAGGAGGAGGAGGAGGAGGAGGATGGGGGAGGAGGAGGAGGAGGAGAAAAAGCTGTTTCTTGGGTCGTATTTTGCTTTCTGCAGACAGATGATCCGATGCAGACAAAGGCTCTCACCAAGGACCGCTTCTGTAAGAGTTAGTGCCCGCCAATGACTGATATCCCCCTCCAACACTTGAGCCCAGATGGCAACGGAAGGGGGAGAAGAAGGAGTCACATGAGGGAGCTAGCGTCGACCCTCGCCCCTAATGCCGTCAGTGCGCAATGCGCATTCGGATGACAGAGGGCAGAACATCTACCCCAACAAGAAGGACCCCGACAAGCAATGCCGTTTGGTAAACGCACCCAGGGAAGGCATCGAACAGGGCAGGGCTGTTTAGCAAACGCCCAAGGCCACTCAGTAAACGAAATTGTCGGGGTCTGGGTAGTTTTTTCCTCCCTTCAGATGAGGAAGAGGGATGTGAGGATAACGTGCGGGGGGCGGGCGCCACTGGCAAGCCCCAGGCACTGCTGCTGGAACACCTTTCGCGCCCCCTGGCCGAGCTCCGCACAGGAAGGCGCTGCAGGGGGCAGTGGGAGACGCCGGCGACACATCCTCCAGAGACAACGGCATAACATAACCTCCTCCTCCTTCTCCTTCTCCTCCTCCTCTCCCTCCTGGCAGAGCAGGGCATGGGGAGGAGGCGGGTTTCAGAGGCGGAGGAGGGAGGAGGAGGCGGATGAGGGAGGAGGAGGAGGAGGAGGAGGAGGAGGAGGAGGAGGAGGAGGAGGAGGAGGAGGAGGAGGAGGAGGAGGAGGAGGAGGAGGAGGAGGAGGAGGAGGGAGGAGGATAGGAGGAGGAGGAGAGGAGGAGGAGGAGGTGGCGGAGGAGGAGGGAGGAGGAGGAGGAGGGGAGGAGGAGGAGGAGGAGAAAAAGCTGTTTCTTGGGTCGTATTTTGCTTTCTGCAGACAGATGATCCGATGCAGACAAAGGCTCTCACCAAGGACCGCTTCTGTAAGAGTTAGTGCCCGCCAATGACTGATATCCCCCTCCAACACTTGAGCCCAGATGGCAACGGAAGGGGGAGAAGAAGGAGTCACATGAGGGAGCTAGCGTCGACCCTCGCCCCTAATGCCGTCAGTGCGCAATGCGCATTCGGATGACAGAGGGCAGAACATCTACCCCAACAAGAAGGACCCCGACAAGCAATGCCGTTTGGTAAACGCACCCAGGGAAGGCATCGAACAGGGCAGGGCTGTTTAGCAAACGCCCAAGGCCACTCAGTAAACGAAATTGTCGGGGTCTGGGTAGTTTTTTCCTCCCTTCAGATGAGGAAGAGGGATGTGAGGATAACGTGCAGGGGGCGGGCGCCACTGGCAAGCCCCAGGCACTGCTGCTGGAACACCTTTCGCGCCCCCTGGCCGAGCTCCGCACAGGAAGGCGCTGCAGGGGGCAGTGGGAGACGCCGGCGACACATCCTCCAGAGACAACGGCATAACATAACCTCCTCCTCCTTCTCCTTCTCCTCCTCCTCTCCCTCCTGGCAGAGCAGGGCATGGGGAGGAGGCGGGTTTCAGAGGCGGAGGAGGGAGGAGGAGGCGGATGAGGGAGGAGGAGGAGGAGGAGGAGGAGGAGGAGGAGGAGGAGGAGGAGGAGGAGGAGGAGGAGGAGGAGGAGGAGGAGGAGGGAGGAGGAGGAGGAGGAGGGGGAGGAGGAGGAGGGGGAGGAGGAGGAGGAGGAGGTGGAGGAGGAGGAGGAGGAGGAGGAGGATGGGGGAGGAGGAGGAGGAGGAGAAAAAGCTGTTTCTTGGGTCGTATTTTGCTTTCTGCAGACAGATGATCCGATGCAGACAAAGGCTCTCACCAAGGACCGCTTCTGTAAGAGTTAGTGCCCGCCAATGACTGATATCCCCCTCCAACACTTGAGCCCAGATGGCAACGGAAGGGGGAGAAGAAGGAGTCACATGAGGGAGCTAGCGTCGACCCTCGCCCCTAATGCCGTCAGTGCGCAATGCGCATTCGGATGACAGAGGGCAGAACATCTACCCCAACAAGAAGGACCCCGACAAGCAATGCCGTTTGGTAAACGCACCCAGGGAAGGCATCGAACAGGGCAGGGCTGTTTAGCAAACGCCCAAGGCCACTCAGTAAACGAAATTGTCGGGGTCTGGGTAGTTTTTTCCTCCCTTCAGATGAGGAAGAGGGATGTGAGGATAACGTGCAGGGGGCGGGCGCCACTGGCAAGCCCCAGGCACTGCTGCTGGAACGCCTTTCGCGCCCCCTGGCCGAGCTCCGCACAGGAAGGCGCTGCAGGGGGCAGTGGGAGACGCCGGCGACACACCCTCCAGAGACAACGGCATAACATAACCTCCTCCTCCTTCTCCTTCTCCTCCCCCTCTTCCTCCTGGCAGAGCAGGGCATGGGGAGGAGGCGGGTTTCAGAGGGTCGGTGGACTGGTAAGATCTATCGGGCACCGCGGCCGTGCGGTGCGCTCCAGAAAGCTCGCGTTCTGCGAGACTTGGGATGCCCTGGCAGTGCCTATTGCTACCCATAGCGCTGCCAGACCTCACCCCTCCTCCTCCTCCTCCTCCTCCTCCTCCTCCTCCTCCTCCTCCTCCTCCTCCTCCTCCTCCTCCTCCTCCTCCTCCGTACGAGGCTCGCGCTGCATCGGCCCATCGCGCCGTCCGTTGTGGTATCCCCTGAACTGGCCAGGTCTCCCGGCTAGCGGTTGCGATTCCCATTGGATCGCCCAGCCTTCGGGACAGCGATCGTCCTCGTGCCCAACGACGCGTGAAAGCGCGGGCGTGTTGTCCACCTGTCCTCGAGCGGATCCGACTTCACATCCGGATGCGCACAGCCATAGGGCGACGCGATCCAGACACAGCCACCGGCCCTGGCCTGGCCAGGGGTGTCGCCGCCCCAAGTCAAGGGCCAAGCCGGTCACGCAGCAGAGCGCCACATTGGTGGAATCCGGGTCTCGTGATCGGCCTGCTGCATCCCTCTCGAGCGCCCGCCACGAAGAGCCCAGGACCCGCTGCTCCCCGGGGGAAGCAGGGAACGAGGACAGGCCTCGTGCGTGCCTTGCCTCAAGAAGCCGTGCCAGAGGCTCGCCATCGCTCGGACGTTCATTCCCTGTGTTTTTTTCGGTTTCGTGCGTGGTTTTTTCGGCAACTGGTCAAGGATGCTCCTCGATTGCACTCGCCGAGGAAAAAACGTACACGTCCGAGCGATGCCGAGGAGGGGGCCGCATGGTGCGAGGGCCGAGAACAGGTCCACCGGGGCCTGCGCAGGCCCTCCTCCGAGTTTGACGGAGGCCGCGACGCAGGTGCAGCACTTCGCGAGCAAGGGGGCCGGGCGCCCGCCTGCGCTCCGCCCCCTTTTTCTGTTCATGCCTCCTCGGCCCCCGCCCCCCCCTCAACAGGGACACCGAGCTCGCAGTGTTTCACTCGGAGCCTGATCGGGGAGCTCGCGCCAGCAGTCGAAACATGTGGTCGCGCTGGCCCCTTCTCCTTCTCATCCCTGTCCTCCCGCTCTCCTTCTCTTCGTCCTGGTCCTGCTGTTCCCTCCCCTCCTCCTCCTCTTTCTCCTCCTCTTCCCCCACCTCTCGCTCCGACTCCTCCCTCTCCTCCCGCCCTCCTCCTCCTTCTCCTCCTCCTTCTTCTCCCGCTGTTGCTCTTGCTGTTTTTTTTGGCGCTGCTCGGACATAGGCTGTACAGCTGTTGGGCCTATAGGGCGACGTCGGCGAAATTGCACCAGCACAGAATAACACTAACAAAACTAATAGTACGACTATTAATGATACTAATGAGAATGGTAATGCTGATGATCATACTAGTAACACTAGTAATGGAGAGTATGTCCAGGGGCACATCGAAAGCGCAGGCAGATTAATCTCTTGCCATCCTCTTTTCTCCCCCTTCCCGCTCTCACTCTCCCCCCCGACCCATCATCGGGCGTGTGCGGATGCCTTCGGTGGCCCTTGCCAAATGTCGGCGCTGGTTCTGCGGGGTGCTCCTGGCCCGCGGTAAGATCGGCCCGGCATTCAAGACGCACCCTTCTACGCGCACATATTTATATACATGGAGGTCGAGAGAGGGCGGGGGAGAGCGGGATATACATACAGCTACCACGAGAGAGAGGGATAACAAAGAGCGAGAGAGAGAGAGAGAGAGAGCGAGAGAGAGAGAGAGCGAGAACGAATATATAGAGGGATACACAACACTGTATGGTTCATCTGTGTATATGTATATATATATAAAGTGAAGATAACAGCACGCATAGAGAACGAATGACAGAGAGAAAGAGAGAGAACAAGAGAGGGAAACACACGCACATATGTGTATATGTTTAGATATATGCAAGACTGCATTGGCGCCTCGCGCCATGCGTCTTGTTCTGGACCCTCCCCGGCAAAACAATCAATCATCGCTTGTTTCAGCAGGGGGGACCTCGAGGCCTGGACTAGCGACGCGCTCATTTTTCTGATATCCCTGGTGCCTGCTGACACCGCGTTCGCCCGATGCGCTTGCACGCTTGTGCGCAGGAGTGGGGAAGGACTGATGATTTTTTACGCGCGAAGGTTATTTGAGGAAGTAAGGAGCGTTCCCATGACACGCCGAAGAAGTCGCAGTAGCTCCGAACACATCGATTTTCGGTCGCTTCCTGAATGCCTGGAGGGCCCCAGGCACTCAGGAAATCTTCGATCGTCGAACTTAGAATCTAGATCCATTGCCTGTCTCTCTCGATCAATGAACTTACTCCTTGAGCCTCGAACGTGGAACCAATATCGTCGGGTCAGCTCGATGTACTTCGTAGGAGAACGCCATCTGGGCTTTCTTGGGGCTCTTTGGCCCTCTTGGGCCGTCCTGGCGCCTTCTTGGGCCGTCTTGGGAAGCTGGGCCCCCCCAGGAGACTTCTGGAACCATCTAGGGCCCTCTTGGGGGCCTCCCAGTGGCCTTCTTGGGGGTCTCCCATGGCTTTCGTGGGTCTCTCTTGGGGGCCATCTGGGGGCATCTTGGGCTTCTTGTGGGCAGTCCCGGGGCTCTCTGGGGCAGTCTTGGGGCCCTCTTGGGCCGTCTTCAAACCCTCTGGGGAGCTTCTTGGGCCGTCTTGGGGCGATATTGGGGGCCCATCGAGCCGTCTTGGGCGCTGTGAAGACCCGAAAAGCGAATATGTTTAAAACATTTACTTTCTCAGTGGGATGGGGCGATTTTCACTTCTTAGGGGCTCTCTTAAAGGCCTCTTGGGGCGTCTTGGGGGCCCCTTGGGCCGTCTTCAAACCATCGAGCTTCCTGTTGGAGCGCTCTTGTGCTGTCTTGGGTCTCTCTTGCGCCTCTCCGATGACCCCTCTGATCGCCTTGCCTTGAATCTGCTCGCAAAGCCCGGCAAGGCGCTCTGGGAGGCCCGGAAGGGCCAGCGGACGTTTTCCAAGGGCGTCCAAGGGGCCGCCGAGACGTCCGAAAGGGCGTCCGGGGCGTCCCTGGGGGGGGGTCCGGTTTAGGGGGGGGCCCGGATAATAAAAATATAGGAATAGGATATATATATACACACATACATCGATATTTATGCTGATTCGTTTGAACACATACATACACACATTCAGATGCAACATCACAAACCACCGTCAGACAGACTGACGGGCAGGCGCCGCGTAACAAAACAACAAGGTGCATGCAGACAGGCAAGCACACAAGCACGTACACACATTGCCCACACAAGGACGGACAGACAGGTATTCGCAGTCACAAGCACGTGCCATACATAGATGTCATACGCAGAGGTCGTTCGGGGTGCGGGGGCACTGCGGCAGATCCCAACCGCAGCACGAAGAGCACCGATTCATTAAGCCTCCAGCATGGTCGTGAGGCGTTACTGCAGCCACGACGGAGGCTGACTGACCGGCCCACGAGGCAAACACTCTGGCGGACAGACCGCGGCCAGGGAAACAGGCAAGGAGGACGACGAGAGGAGGAGGAGGAGCAGGAGGAAGAGGAGCAGGAGGAGGGAAGCAGGAGGAGGAGGAGGAGGAGGAGGAGGAGGAGGAGGAGGAGGAGGAGGAGGATGAGGAGAGGTAGAGTGCAGCAGGGTCGACGGGGCAGGCCGCGGCCAGGAACGGAGGCGACAGACGGATGGGCGAGGCAGCAGGCGAAGGAGCGGCGAGTGCAGCGAGACGGACCACGGGAGAGGAAGGAGCGAAGGCGGCATCGGGGGCGGCAAAGAGGGGGGCGTCCAAGAGGGGGGGTGCAAATCATAGCCGGCGGCATGTGCGCGGCCCATGGGGGGGCCGGGGACGTATTGAAATAAGAAGAGGCGCCATGAAATCTGAGGAAAAATCATGGCCCACACCATGATATCCACCCCCGACGGCAGAGGCTGGCGAGGCCGCGCCGAGAAGAACGGGTTTCGGAGGAAGTGCAGACGACCAGCAGCGGGGGCGCGCGGTGCGGCCCGCCCGGGGGCGCCACAGAGAGCCGCAGCAACGACGGACGGGCTCCGCGCATTGCCGGGAGAGCCTGGCGTGCTGTCGGGGGCACGCGGCCTGCTCTGCCACGCTTGATTTCGGGGTGTCGGGTTTGCACCGTGCACGGGGGGTCAGTCTCACAGTGTGCGAGGCGGCTAAGGGTCAGTCGGTCTTTCAGTTCACGGCGTGTCGGCTTCACAGCGTCTGCCGTCTCTCCCCCAGCACCCCCTCCCCCCCACCGAAACCTCTCGGCAGAGCCCGCCTGGCTAGGTCCTGCCTTGAGAGCGTGCCCCGAGTTTCTTTGCTTTGTGCACTCTGGCTGGCCCGCAGGAGCTGCCAGATGTGTGCTGCCCTGGGGTATTGACACGTTCAGGGCCCCTGTCTCACCCCTCCGTCCCTCCCATCCCCGCCACCTGGGCCCCGATATGCTCCACCCCTCCCCTCCTTTTTGACCCACCGGCTCGAATGTGACCCCGCTCGGGCCCACAACGCGGATCTCCCGCGGCCGTTCGGAACGATCAGGGAACCACCGAGAGCCGATGAGAAAACGCCCGGACGGGCCCAACTGGTGTCGCCACCCTTGAGAGGAAGCTGCAGTGGGGGACTGGCGCAGGGGGGGAGCATCGACCTGGAATTGGCGATACGTCGCCGAGAGATCGGCGAGAGGCCCGCGGTAGCACAACCGCATGCCCCTGGGCGGGGTGGGCTACCGGGCCCATGTCGACGATGCATGGGCGATTGGGGGTCGATGTATTTCCCTTTCCCCCACCCCCCATCTCGTTGCCCATTGGCTTTCGAGCCAGAACTCAGGTCTCTCGCAGCCGCTGGCCGATCGGGGCACCCCCGGAACACTTTCGGCGAGAGGCGCAGCTGCTGGAACGCATCCCGGAGCTGGAAAGCCGTCGGGAATCAGCGAAATCGCTTGAAAGCCTCGAACCTCGAGCCTCCAACCTCCCCCCTGACGTTGCCCTTGATCTGTGAGCAATGCAATCACCGTGCTATCATCTGGGAAACGGAACAACGAGCAACGCACCGTTTGGGCCCCAGAGGGCCTGGGTGCACGAGGAGCGCTCGAGGAACAGCAACGGAAGGACCGAAGGGGAGCCCCTTCCGAACCCACAGTGATCCTGACTTCAACTTGGAAGCGGCTGGAGGGTCTGCGCTGGATGGGCCCTGAGAAAATCGGGGGCTGGGCGAGGGAAAAAATCAGCTTAAAATATGTCTCCAGACGCCCGTGGGGCTTCGAGACCGATTCGCTTTCCGAGCCGCGCCCGGCGGTGTCTGCGAGGGGGGCCCTTTTCTTCCCCCCTGCTGGCCGAAGCCCGTGCCAGGCCCCGTCATCCCCCCAGCGGGTTCCAAAGTTCAGCGTCGTCACTGCACGCCAGGGGGCCACGGATCGGGCAGGCCCCGCGGCGGCCTTGCCAGCGCCGCCCCGACGGCCCCGCTGCGCGGGGGGAGCGTGTCCGCCTCCTCCAGGCGGCAGGGCGGGCGGGCGGGTCGGTGGCCGGGCACGTCCTCCTCCTCCTCCTGCTTCCCCTGCTCCTCCTGCACCTCGTCATCGTCGTCCTTGTTCTCCCTTCTTGTTTTTCTTCTGCTCTTCCTCCTGTTCCTGCTAATGTCTCATCCTGCTCCCTCCTCCTCCCTCCTCCTTCTGCTCCTGCTCCTGCTCCCCCCCTTTTTTTCTGATAAATGCTCAACTCCTCCGCGCCGTATTCCCAGACGTGTCGGTCGGGCGGGCCAAGCGTTTCGTTTGAGACTTCCTCGCCGCCTATGACCCTGGAGCTTGCGACCTGTAGCAATTTCAAGAGTGGGAAACGGCTGGTTTTCAAAATGTGGTTTGTGCCATGGCGCCGCGCGCATTCGTCTTACATGTTCAAGGATGGAGGGCATCTGGTTTTCAATACAGACTTCTCGCCTTAGCGCCCCGGGCGCTCACATTAAACAGTTGCATCAAGTTCAATGTTAGCCAGCGTGGACACGAAACAATGATTCCTTGCACCCTATGCGGTGCAGTCCAGGTGGTGCAATCAATGTGGTGCAATGCTAAAAAGTGCAATACACGTTGTGCAAAATCTGTGGTGCGATCTACGTGGTGTAATATAGGTGTTGCAAGATCGGTGGTGCAAGTTATGAGGTGCAATCTAGGTTAAGTCGCACATGTGGTGCGAGCTATGTGTGGGCGCTGTGCGGTGCAAGCCACGTGGTGAAATCTGTCTGGTGCAATTCACCAATGCCCGCACTGACTTGTCAACTCCACTGCTCGCGCAATCATCACACCCACCCACCCACAATCTGGCTTGCAAAAGCCATGCGGCGGCGATTGCGCTGAGTGCTTGGTGTTGGCGGGCGCATCTCTGCGGCCGCCCTTGCCCGCGCATGCTCGCGCGCGCAGCGGCCAGTCAGTTTGGCGCGACCGACGCGGCCGAGGTGGCGCTGACCGCCGGGCACTTCCCAGCGGGCACCTCGGTGCGAGTCGGCGACTTGGGTGGTCGCGGGATCATGGCACGTGGGCAACGGTAGACACGATCATGATAGTAACAATGCTGGTGACGATGATCACAACGACGACGGCACGGCCAGTGACGGCGCCGATGTTGATCACGCCGACGATGACGGCGTTCCCACATCGGTGATGAAGGTTGTGGAAGGAGTTCGACATGCGCGCGCGGCCGACGCGCGAGAGTGGCCCGCATGGTGTTATTTGACACAGATCGTGCCCCCCCCCCCAGCACGCGCGCAAGGGCCTTCGAATCATTTCGACATGCGGCGCGAGAGGCCCGTTTGGCCGAATGTAACGGACATGTTGAAATACTTATGGTTTGCTAAAGGATTCGCAGAGCGCTAGCACAAGCTTTTTTTGATAACTAATGTTGCACAGCCGTGTGCTACATGTTTTCGGGACGCTCGATTTTGAAATCCTCACGAAACCTGAAGTTTTTGAAAGATTTCGGCTTGCGCGGGCGACGACTCGCGCCTGTGCACTGCGTCTCTTTTTTCCAAGGGGATCTTTTGACAACACGCGCGCAAGGGCGTTCGAACGATTGCGACATGCACGCGCGAGGGGCCCTTGGGGTAACCATTTTATGAACATGTTGAACATCTTTGGTTTCCCTACGAATTAGAAGGAGTGCGAGCGCAACTTATTTTTGTATAAAAACTCGTGTTGCGAAACCATGTGCTGTTATATGTTTTCGGGGCGCTCGATTTTGAAATCCTTACGGAACCTACGGTTTTTGAAGGATTTCGGCTTGCGCGCGCAACGACGCGCGCGTGCACTGCGTCCAATTTTTTGCGAAGGATTTTTGATCACGGATGGTTTTGACAAACGAGTGCGCGCGCGAGACACTCTTGCAGAGGGTGAGGCGGGGGATGCCGGCCTGGCTTGGATGGTGTGCACTCATATTTTTGAACAGGGACCGACCGTCCCGGCATTCCTAGTCCTACCACGAAATGTTCTTAGAGCCAAAAATGTTCTCATAACCAAAGCAATGTTCTTAGAACATAAACCCGATGTGATACAACAAGACAGACTCCGCCAAACATGTTCTAAGAACATTTCGTGAAAACCACAAGAGGTTCTTAGAACATTGTTTGGCAAGGCTACAGGCGAGCCAGGGCGCTCCGCCAGTGCTTGATACTTTGGATGGACGATGGGGCAGAATCGTTCGTACATTGCATCGCGAAAATGTGAGCGGATAATTTCGGAGGGGGGGGGGTCGATCCTACTAGTCTCTTAGAAAGGAGAACCAAAGAGGTACAATGGGTTATGCCGCGTCTGCCTGTCAAATTCTCAGGTCCATAGCTGCAATACTACTGTCAAAACATGTGGAGGAAGAAACTTCGTATAACACCTGGAAAAATGCATTCTGCGAGTTTCCAGGCTGATAATCGAGAACGCTCTCTCCTCGTAATCTGAACACTGATTTGCGTGTTCAACATTGCGACCAAAGTGCGGCGGCGACGCGGCGCGGCGGCGACGGGTGGCAACGAGGCGGCCACGGGCGGCGGCGGGGCGACAGCCAAGCCGGCAGTGGCGGCGGCCGAGCCCAGAAGCAGCGGCGACGGACGGCGGCGACGGGCGGCGGCGGCGGCAAGAGGCCGACCATCGCCGCAGCCAGGCCCCGTTCCTTAGGAGAGCCATAAAAACCAACTCGGTGCAAGCACTGCTCGGGGAAAGATGGAGGGCAGCTGGCTTTCAAGATTTGGCTCTCGGCTTCGCGCCGCGCACGTTCGCCTTCAAGTTTCGCAGCAATGTCCAGAACTCGTGAGATTGAAGCCCCAGCAATTGTATTCCGGCACGCTTGCAGATTGTGAGGACGCAGCAGACACGTTGATTCGCGGCGTTGACGTGCCAAGACTGGTGTTCTGGCGCGATCTAGGACTGTCAGGACGCAACAGTCACGTTGATTCGCG